CACCACTGTTCTGCCATTCTCACATTCCAATCACTTTATCTGAGCCATCAACATCTTTTCTCCACCAGCACCCTACACCCACTACCCCCAACCTCCAAACTATAGCATAAATGCTGTCCCCTCCACACCACTTCATGTCTGATTTTAAAAAGTCATCTAGACTCAATGTTTACTTGCTGTCTCTACATGGATGCTTCTGACCCACTGTGATCTCCAGCATTTGTTATTTTCAGTACAGATTCCAGCATCTGCAGTAATTTGTTCCCACATCTCTAATCAGTCCTGGCCTTTCCAAATGCATGTAAATTCTATCTCTCAGAAGCCCCTCTAACAACTTACCCACTACTGAAATCAGACTCACCCGTTTATAGTTCCCTGGTCTTTCCTTACATCCCTTCTTAACTAATGGCATAATATTCGTCACCCTCCAGTCTTCCGGCACTTCACCTGTGACTATACAAATATCCCAAGAAGGGCCCCTTCTCTAGCCTCCCAGAATGTTCTAACATATACCTGATCGGGTCCCAGGGGTTTATCTATTTGTGTTTTAAGACATCCAGCACTTCCTGTAATGTGGACTCTTTTCAAGGCATTACTATTTATTTCCCCAGGCTGCCTAGCTTCCATGTCATTCTTCACAGTAAATACTGAGGCAAAATATTCTGAAAGTACCTCACCCATCTCCTGCGGTTCCACACGTAGACAGTCCTACTGATCTCTAATCTCATACAGATGGGCCCTAATTTCTCTCTAGTTACTCTTCTGCCCTTGATATACTTGTAGAATCTCTTCGGATTCTCCTTAACCTTAAGGTAAGAGGGGAAAGAATAAATGGGAACCAAAGGAGCAGCTTTGTTCCACAGAGGGTGGTATGCATATAGAATAAGCTGCCAGCTGAAGTGGTTGAGGCGGGTACACTAACAACATTTAAAAGGCATTTGGATGAATACATGGCTAGGAAAGGTTGAGAAGGATATGGGCCAAGTGCAGGGAACTGGGGTTAGCGTGGATGGACATTTTGGTTGGCATGGACCTGTTTGGGCCAAAGGGCCTGACCCTGTGCTGTAGGACTCTATAACTCTGTCTTATTTGCTAAAGCTATCTCCAGTCCCCCTTTTACCCTCTTGATTTCTCTTTTAAGTGTACTCCTACTCCCCCAAGGATTCACTTGATTCCAACTGTTTATACCTGACCAACGCTCCTTCTTTTTCTTGACCAGAGTCTCAATATCTTTAGTCATCCAGTATTCCTTACACCTACCAGCCTTACCCTTCACACTGACAGGAGCATGCTGTGCATGAACTCTCGTTACTTCATTTTGGAAAGCTTCCCATGTGCCAGATGTCCCTTTACCTGCAAACAGCAACCCCCAATCAACTTTTGAAAGTTCCTGTCTAATACCATCAAAATTGCCCTTGGTCCAATTTAGAACTGTAACTTTCAGATCAGCCTATCCTTTTCCATAACTATTTTCAAACTAATAGAATTATGATCACTGGTCCCAAGGTGCTCCACCACCAACACCTCAGCCACATGCCCTGCCTTATTTCCCAAGAGAAGATCAAATATTGCTCCTTCTCGTGTAGGTACATCACATATCGAATGATAAAATTTTCTTAAACATACTTAAATTCCTATCGCCTACCATTACAACCCTGTTATTTTTACAGATATCTGAGATCTCCCTACATATTTGCTCCTCAAATTCCCACTGACTATTGGGGAGCCTATATTACAATCCCATCAAGGTGATCATCCCCTTCTTATTTCTCAGTTCCACCATATAACTTAATTGGACAACCCCCCAGGAATATCCTCTCTAAGTATAGCCTGGACCATTGAACAACCAGTCTTGTCCCTCTCTCAGCAATGTTTCTGTAATAGTTACGATATCTCAGTCCCAAGTTCCCATCCATGCCCCTGAGTTCATCTACCTTATCTACCAGGCCTCTTACATTGAAATAAATACAGTTGAATTCATAAGCCTTACTTTGTTTTCTACCATGCTCTTGCCCGGCTTGCCTATTTAACTTTCTTTCCTTAACTATTGCAGCAGTCTCAACCTTCTATTTTGTTCCCACATTCTCCCCACCCCACTTTCTCATTTTAGTAGCACAAGCAAATCTCCCTGCTAGGATATTGGTCCCTCTCCAGTTCAGGTGCAACCCCTCCTTCTTGTAAAGGTCATTTCTACCACAGAATAGTTCCTAATGATGCAAAAATTTGAATCCTTGCCTCTTGCACCAGCTCCTCAGTGATGCACTCACCTCCCTATCCTCCTATTCCTACTGTCACTATCACATGGCAGGAATAATCCAGAAATTATTACCCTTGAGGTCCTGCTTTTTAACCACCAATTTAATTTCCTATATTTTCTCTGTAGAACCTCATCCCTTCCTCTGCCTATGACGTTGGTACCGATATGCACAATGGCCTCCATCTGCTCACTCTTCTTAAGAATTTTCTGCAGCAGAGGATGTTAAGAATTGCTCTTACCTTGGAATTAAATGGAATTAAATGAATTAAATTTAAAGTCCAATGGTTTACAAGCCATGAAAGAATGACAAAAAATGGAGCAAAGCAACTAAGAAAGTTGAAACAGAGAGTAGGGAGCCATGAGACAATTTTGTTTCACTCTCATCTTAACACCAAAAGGGATCTGCTCTGTAATGCATCCATTAACAAGATTACTGCTCACGTATTATCATGAACTAAGTCTTCTTCTTCCAGATCAGTCATGGCGGGCACACCAGAGTAAGACAAAATAAGCACTTCAAGGATGTGCTGAATGCCAACAAAAATGCAATATTGACATCAATTCCTGGGAAACCATCAGCCTGGACCAAACCAAATGGAGGCAAAGACTGTGGGAAGGATTGTAGCATTTTGAGACATAGGATGACAAAAGAAAAAGGACAATCAACAGTGATGAACAATCCATGATCTGAACTAAAAATACACAACCGTACATTCCATAAGTCAACCAACCTCCAACATTCCTTAAAGTTTGCAGATCCCAAATGGAACTCATCAGCCATTTTTGGACTCGGCAAAGATGATTGGCTTTGATTGTGATAATGGAGATGATAATATTTATAATTAGGGATGATTTGACAGGCCAAGGCTCTTTTTGCTTCAGAGAGGAGAAGGCAGAGAGGTAATGTATTGGGAGTTTTTAGAATTATGAAGGTCTTTGATCGGATAGACTTCAAGAACTTATTTCAATTTATGCAGGAGACCAAAATAAGAGATATAGGATGGTCGCCAATCAATCCAATAGGGAATAGGGGAATTCCTATTTTACCCATGATATGGAAAATGCCACTGAGGAGGCATTGAAGTGAACAGCATTGACCATTACTGGAAAACTATATCATCACCCGAGGGAGGAGGAAGCAGGATATTTTGACAGAAAATACTGCAGATGCTGGAAATCTGGAATAAAAACAGAAAATGGCTGGTGAAACTCAGCAGGTTTGGCAGTATTTTCTTCAAGGTTTCTGTATGTCTTGTTCCTGTTCTTGTGTTAATCCCTATGTGTGCTGCTATGGGCTGTAAGTCAACTTTTGTCAACCGTTTCAAATCTCTGATTGTTACATTGTCTCTGTCAACAATGGCTTGAACCTCCAAAGGTATTCATGTTGGTTTCCCACATACGGGAAAAACAGATATGAAATCTTGTTTAAACATGGGATGTTTTCAGTGAATCCATTTCAGTTCCTTGGTTCAATTCCCGAATCAAGCCCTCTGTTTCATTATGATCCCCATGTGTAAACCAAAATAACTAAAGTTTCCTCCCCACCCCACAAATGAAGGAACCATCAACTGAGACTGCATTTTTGTAACATTTTTTTTCTTTTACATGAACAGACATGAATCAACAAGCAAATAATATTTCAAAAAGACAAACTTCACTTTAAATAGCAGATATTAGAAAGATACATCTCACAAAACCATAGCAATTCGTTGCATGAATGTGGCAAAGTGTGTAATCTGATACAGTACTTTCTAACTCAACGGGTTTGGCACTTAACTCTCATTTACCAGCAAAGATACACCATCCCAGGTCTCCAGATATGGTTTGGACCAAGATAGTGCATGTCTCCTGGCCCTGTCTAAATTAGGTCATGTTAGTTTTGATGGCGCAGTTTTCCAAAATTCCTTTACAACTGCCCAACCAACAGCAGCTGACTCATAAACTGCCCCTTTTATAGAAACCTAAAACTCCTGTACATGTCTAAGCTATTTGCATCATATTTTAATAAATAGTTTCTTTTAGCTTGTTTACACTTCTCTTCCACATGAGTGTCTATATATTTTTATTTTCACTGCCAAAGAGAAAATTGATACTTTTGGAGAGATTTGCTGTCTTATTCTTACGTAAATCCTGTGCCCCTTTTTCTAGGCTATTTATAAGTTCTCTTTGTGTCTACATCCTGTGTACTGATCACTTTCACCCATTCAATTATTGAGCTTCAAGCTCTCCTTTGTGTTTGGTCACTTATTGTCTGTCATAACTTCTGTATGATTGGTACTGGTTCCCGGTCAAGAGTTGCCAGGTGGTACGAAACAGTGTTTCTCATTACCGAAGAAAATTACAATTGATTCCTTTGTAATTGATGTAAGCTCAAGTTCTTTCCAAACATTCTTAAAACTATTATGAATCCCACAGATATTGTAAATAAATTACAAAATTTGCTTTCTGTTTCAGGTTAAACATCATCACAGTGAATTTGTATGATTATATATAAGCAGATTTTCAGAGGTTACACCATCAGCAGAACATCTTTGGGGTGAGTTGAAATGGAACAAAGAAGAAGATAATTATTTTATTTTCATGGTCTGCACATAGATATACATAGGTAACACGAATTGTGAGAAGGAATTGAATCATCAAATGACTTGGCAAAATAGGGGATATTTTTACTTCTACAATCTACTGTTCTCCATTTGTATTCTCGAGTAATTACAATAATTTTGCTCCAAGTCATAGATTAAATCATACCTTCTTCCAGTGTAACATTTCCCTGGAGGAAGTACTTGCCATGTCCTCTGGATAAAGCCACACCTAGACTGTACAGAGGAGATTGTAAACAATTACATGATGCTACCAAAAACGCTCTTATCATTTTGAATCTAATTCCAAAGAATCTTGGAAAATAAGGAAAATGATGAAACCTACCTGAATGGAGTGCCTTTGATGTCTGTGTAATAGTAATCATTTGTCATCACTAAGACTCGCTTCTAACATGAAAAATAAAACACAGTAGTAGTAGTAACTGGCACTTTACCAATTAGTAGAGATTGTAAATGCTTTTGTTGTGTGCTTTTGTTTCAATACTTGTCATTTGACCATTGCAGAAGATTAATGCAACTTTTCTGGTACCTTTGCTGAAACATAATTGCAATTTCAGTAAATCTGTTAGTTTAAAAATATTTTTATGTAGTCTGGAAAAACTCGTCTGTATCATTGATTGATACCAAGGAAGTAACCCTAAACCAACATAAAATGGAATCTTAACAATATGACTCAAATGGAAAAAGTGGTTAGAGCATTGTTATATATTCTGTCCATGATTGATCAGCCAGCATCCTAAATCACAGTTTTAATCTTGCCTTCCTCCACCGGAACGTATCTCTGGAATATGTACTTGCCAAGTGGTCTGGATAAATCGATACATAAAGAGCAAAGTTCACCAGCAAGTGCTTAGTGCACTTGTACTACATTCCTTTTGAGCAGTTACTTGACTGTGCTATCATTGCCTGTACAGTAATAGTGAATACTGAAATGTAATCTGAGCGTTTTAAACATTCTTATGTGAACATTGCCTATCAGAAGTTCAATTAACATGAAAGTGACAATTATAATGCATATTTATAAAATTGACCTGGAGACAATTGCACATCAGCAGTGGAAATACAGTTTAAACAAATAGCGTTAATGGTTTTGAGTTGGCTACAGGGTTTACACAAAAAATGTTCAGTTGTAAAGAAAAGGAATATAAATGTTCACTGCACTGAAGAGGGTTATTTTGTCTGCCCTGACTGTGCCAGATTATTGTTAAAACAATCCAACATGAATACCACTGCTAACAATCTAAACATGGCGTTATATCTTCTGCTTCAAACGTTCATTCAATTTTCTCTTCAAAGGTGCAATGATCTCTGCTCCACCCACTTAATATACCTCTAAGAATTCTTTTAGTGATAGTTCCTTGGTGCTAACTAGAGGAATTTACCCCATTAAAAGTTTCAAAATGTTATAAACCTCTCCACTCAGACATTTCTACCCCATGGAAATAATTAAAATATCTCTGATCTGTCTTTTAAAATGGTGTCTTCCATTTCTGGCATTATCTTGTTGAATCAATGTAAAATGTTTTCGATCACTTTAATATCATTAAACTTCCACTGAAGTCACTATATAGTAAAATCAGATGGGGCATGAAATATGCAGTAAATTGGATCTGACCAATTTCCTACAATGTGGGTTATTTTAAAATTACCCTTTATCTTTTTATTTTGACCTGTAAAAACATTATCACTACTATTCAGATACTTGATGTGAATTCCTAATGGCACACAATACAAAAGATTTCATTTCGAAAAGAGATACTTTATCTTACCTTTCATTCTCACAACAATTCAAGATTCGTAGGTGTGCCATTAAATAAATCAAAGCATTCATGAGCGAATGACTTTTTTCCTTTTAAAAGTATTAGGACAACTTCAGCATTAGTGATTAAATATCTTATTTTAAAGTTTTTTGCTTATCATCTGAGAAAAAGAAATGTCTTACCCCTTTCTCAACAGTCTTTTTCACCTCCATGGAAAATTTTCCTGTTTTGCGATTTACCATACCATTACGCAGCTATAAAATAATGTAAATTATTAATACTCTTATAGAAGCTCTGAAGGGAAAGTGAACTATTGCTTTTACTAATGACAGTGGTCTACAATTGAACAAAACATGTTCAGTCAATTTTTTGCTCTCAAGAGGTTTCTTAATATGGGGAGAAAAATTAACGTTAAAACTCATGCTATCCACTTCAGGAGACGAATTGAGTTTTCCGGGAGTGAGTTAGTTCGTGCAAATTAATCCGAGCACATGCTGATGAGATGAAGCAGCAGTACCTCTTCCAGTCCTTTTACAATTTGGAATTGATGGACATGCTGCACTGAGACAGCATTTTCTGTCTACGTTTCAAACACCTTCATTTTAAATTTGATTTCAAGTTTTCTACATTTTAAATTGTTTCTCTTGATTTATCCTGTGCTTTCCATGACCTTGGCTATTATCAAGTCTAGGTCTGGATGAGTTGAAATTTCCTCCAACTAAATATTGAAGACAGAAGCCATTGTCTTCAGGCCCTGCCATAAGTAACATTCCCTTGTGACCAAACTACCTCCCTCCCTGGCAACTGTCTTTGACTGAACCAGACTGTTGGCAACCTTGTTTCAGAGATAGCAGGAACTGCAGATGCTGGAGAATCTGAGATAACAAGGTGTAGAGCTGGATGAACACAGCAGGCCAAGCCGCATCAGAGGAGCAGGAAGGCTGACGATTCGGGCCTAGACCCTTCTTCAGAAATGGGGGAGGGGAAGGGGGTTCTGAAATAAATAGGGAGAGAGGGGGAGGCGGATAGAAGATGGATAGAGGAGAAGATAGGTGGAGAGGAGACAGACAGGTCAAAGAGGCGGGGATGGAGCCAGTAAAGGTGAGTGTAGGTGGGGAGTTAGGGATGAGATAGGTCAGTCCAGGGAGGACGGACAGGTCAAGGGGGCGGGAAGAGGTTAGTAGGGAGGGGGTGGGAGGAGGGGATAGGTGGGAGGAAGGACAGGTTAGGGAGGCGGGCTGGTTTTGGGATGCGGTAGGGGGAGGGGAGATTTTGAAGCTTGTGAAGTCCACATTGATACCATTGGGCTGCAGGGTTCCCAAGTGGAATATGATTTGCTGTTCCTGCAATCTTCGGGTAGCATCATCGTGGCACTGCAGGAGGCCCAGGATGGACATGTCGTCTGAGGAATGCGAGGGGGAGTTGAAATGGTTCGCGACTGGGAGGTGCAGTTGTTTAGTGCGAACCGAGCGTAGGTGTTCTGCAAAGCAGTCCCCAAGCCTCCGCTTGGTTTCCCGGAGTAGAGGAGGCCACAATGGGAACAACGGATGCAGTATACCACATTAGCAGATGTGCTTGATGTGGAAAGTCTTATTGGGGCCTGGGATGGGGGTGACGGGGGAGGTATAGGGGCAGGTGTAACACTTCCTGCGGTTGCAGGGAAAAGTGCCGGGTGTGGTGGGGCTGGAGGGGAGTGTGGAGCAGACAAGGGAGCCCCGGAGAGAGTGGTCCCTCCGGAAAGCAGATAAGGGTGGGGAGGGAAAAATGTCTTTGGTGTTGGGGTCGGATTGCAGATGGCAGAAGTGTCAGAGGATGATGCGTTGGATCCGGAGGTTGGTGGGGTGGTACGTGAGGACGAGGGGGATTCTGTTTTGGTTGTTATTGTGGGGAGGGGGTGTGAGGGATGAGTTGCAGGAAATGCGGGAGACACGGTTGATGGCGTTCTTGATCACTGAGGGGGGGAAGTTGCGGTCCTTGAAAAATGAGGACACTTGAGTTGTACGGGAGTGGAATGCCTCATCCTGGGAGCAGATGTGGCGGAGGCGAAGGAATTGGGAATAGGGGATGGCATTTTTTGCAGGAAGTAGGGTGGGAGGAGGTGTATTCTAGGTAGCTGCGGGAGTCGGTGGGCTTGAAATGGATATTGGATTCTAGGTGGTTGCCAGAGATGGAGACAGAGGTCCAGGAAGGAGAGAGAGGTATTGGAGATGGTCCAGGTGAACTTAAGGTTGTGGTGGAAGGTGTTGCTGAAGTGGATGAACTGTTCGAGCTCCTTGTGGGAGCACAAGGCGGCGCCGATACAGTCATCAATGTAACGGAGGACGAGGTGGGGTTTAGGGCCAGTGTAGGTACGGAAGAGGGATTGTTCCATGTAACCTACGAAGAGGCAGGCGTAGCTTGGGCCCATGCGGGTACCCATGGCCACGCCCTTTGTCTGTAGGAAGTGGGAGGAATTGAAAGAGAAGTCGTTGAGGGTGAGGACGAGTTCGGCTAAGCGGATGAGGGTGTCAGTGGAGGGGGACTGGTCGAGCCTGCGGGACAGGCCATCTGTATGGGGAATGCAGGTGTATAGGGACTGGACGTCCATGGTAAAGATGAGGTGTTGTGGACCGGGGAATTGGAAGTTCTGGATGAGGTGGAGGGCGTGGGTGTTATCATGGATGTAGGTAGGGAGTTCCTGGACCAAGGGGGAGCAAATGGAGTCGAGATAGGTGGAGATAAGTTCGGTGGGGCAGGAGCAGGCGGAGACAATGGGTCGACCAGGGTAGTCAGGTTTGTGGATTTTGGGAAGGAGATAGAAGCAGGCGGTGCTGGGTTGGGGAACGATGAGGAATGATGGTGTTCAAATTGTTTTCCAGGCTTTTGTTACTTCTAGACCTGATTATTATAATGCACCTGGGCCAATTTCCCTCGTTCTACTCTCCATGAATTTGAAGAAAATCAAAACTCTGTTGCTCATGTCCCAATTTGCACCAAGTCCAGATTGTCCATCTCTCTCGTGCCTGTTGACCTGTTTTGGCTTCCAACTAAGTGATGCTTGCCTTTTACAATTCTCATCTTTGTTTTCAAATTGCTCCAATGTCTCAATCCTCCCTATCTCAGTAATTTCTTCCAGACTGAGAGGTCTAAGGTGTCTGTTCTGTCAACTCTGTTTTTTTCAAATATTGCCAATTGTAATCGCTTCATCATTGATGGTTGTGCTTTCAATTACCTGGACCCTAACCTCTAAGAATAGCTTTTTTAAATCCGTCTGCCTTTCAATCTCTCTTTCCTTCTTTAAAACATTTCATAGGCATTTCTTGTTTAGACTAAGCTTTTGGAATCTGGTTGTGTATGTGTCACAGTGTCAATTCTTTTGCAAATTCTTATAAAGAACTGTAACATCATCTCTGCATCTAGGTCCCTCCAAAATTTTTAATTGCTCATGGAAACCTCTTGACTTTGTGAAAATTTGACCTATGATCTCGCAGTCTAAAGAACATCAAAACTAAACAGGGACTTACAATGTTATCCTTGTCTTCCCATTCCAGTTCAGAGAGGTCAACACTCTTGTAATTGGGGTTTCTCCTTCTTTTTCCTTCTTCATACTTTTTTTAAAAACAAACAAAACATTTTTTAATTTAAGTTTTTTTAAGTTCAGAACAATCTGATCCAAAATAAAGAATACACAAACAATGATAAGGAAATTGACATTTTTATTATTGTTTGTAACTCAATCACCATTTGAACAAATGATCAGGTTGATGTGCTTAATATGTTCCACCTGTAATTCGTGGCAAAGAGATGAGCCACGGTTCAGGAGGATATACCTGTGTCCATTGTAAGCTACATCAGAAATTTTGTGACTGGGTCAGAGACTGAATTCATTATTTTCTCTCAGATACACCTCTTAATCACAAAAGATTGGCGTATGTCAAACAGCATCATTTGCAGATGTAGTTTCTTTAAGCTAGTTAACAATTTGAAATTGTTTTGAAAGTTGTCAGGCTGGACTTCCCTGTGGGAATAAGGCTTCTAGCATCAAGATGGATCCACCCACCATTGAGTGAGAAAACAGTTGCAGCTGTTGGGATGAAAAACCGGATGACTGACATGAAAACTGTGTTTCAGGTCTAAGATAAAGTCAAGATATAAAACCAGTTAAATCGGGGTGACTGATATCTGGTAGAAGTATGCATTACTTGGCCCTTTCCCTCTAATGGGGATTCAAATATCATTCTATCACCATCTGCTATTTCCTAGGGTTACTGATGTTAGCAATACATATCTAAATTTTAAGGACTATGAGGAACTGTAATATGGAAATATTTGGACAGTCTGGATTAAAAAGAGTTTAACAAGGTTTGAAGGGATTTCTTGATTATATCCAAAGTAATACGGATTACGAATTGCCTGATAATTACTGAAAAAAGTCAAGTAACTTTAGAAAGAAGACAAACAAAGCTTTTTAAGAAAGATAAGAGATTGGGATTATTACTTTAATTGCTAAAGAAGCTTGATTTGGAAGAGATGGGTCCTGTGTACAGAAGGGTACCAAGCAACATTGATCTGGAGTTGGTTTCTGTTTTTCCAGGAAACCTAGATATGTCAATAGAAGGAACAGCTCTCTAAAGCTTCTAACAAAAAAAAGACTGTCTCTCTGCTAAAAGAAGTGAGGTGGAACCTTACAGTAAGATAAGATGTACAGATCTCTCTTTGTGAAGTATTTCTAATAACCCGAGAAAGCTTCAAATATCATTACTTCATAAACCCTGAAAAATGAACTGTCACTTCTATTCAAAGATCTAAGTCCAACTGATCTTCCATCTGATGCGTAGTCTGGTCTGAAGATTTTCCACCACTCTCTAATGGGGAATCATAATCATTTTACCTTTTGAGTTCAAACCCTTGGCCCATGAGGGTGAGGAGAGGGCTAATTTCTTTTGCTTTCCTTTTAAAACACATATAATCTCTGTAGAACTGCATTATTTTGTTTGTTATATAAATGTGTTTACTCGGGATTAAGGGGATGTTGTTTAATTCCCAAATATAGTTTGGTTTTAAACCAGTTTTAATAATCATTTATAGAATAAGTTTATTTATAATAAAGGAATCATTTTTGAGTTAGTTAAAGAATTGGTTTTGAAAATTTGATGTAGATTATTCGATATAAAAAATGGAGACTCTTTCCACATTGCTCTTATTGTCCTAATTCACTCTAGATTTCAGAAGAAACTACAAACTCCTTATAACAAATAATTTGCTCTCACCACCTTCCATGGCACCATTTATTCTAATCATCAGATAACAAACATGAGGGCTTCATTTACTCATGTGCAAAATAAAAGCATTCTGTTATTCTTCTAGAATCTGCTTTCTCTTAATTCTCCCATGTGTATACTATTAGCTCTGGTGGACTCCACATTCCATCATCTCAATTAATTATATCATCACCTGTGATAATTGCCACATTGACTGTTGTCACCATCATCAACGATATCTTTCACTTAAGACCTTGGATAATCCAAAATGGTTTTTCAGTTTAATGATTATAATACCAAACTAATTCTCTTTGGATTCCAAATGCATGCCAATACCGTTGATTCCATTTTCCCTGACTTGCTGTTACTTTTGCCATAGCCTGGTTGTGTGGAACCTTGAGGTATTGTTGAAGTCTAATGACAGGTACGCTCTGTGAATCTGAGGTATCACTGAACCATTTCTTTTCACATCTGCAATGTAGTTTGCTAATATTCCTTCTCCCACTCTGACAATGGAATTTGAACAAGCCCCTAATCACAGTACAGTTGCAAACTCTCTAATTCTATTTTTTTATGGTTTGCTCACTTCTACACTAACTACATATCATCCCAAAATCTATAATCTGTGCCTCCTGCATATTGAATCCATGTCATTATCAATATGTCCTGAATGATGTCCTTCAATGCCCTGAAGAATTGTCTTTTTGATTCTTCTTCTCACTTTTGTACCTTTTTTACTGTGTTTTGTTTTATTCATTAATAGGATGTAGGTTTAGCTTGCTGAGCTAGTATTTGTTTACTGTATCTGGTTGCCCTCAAAAAGGTGAACTTCTTGAACTGCTGCAGTACATTTGGCATGGGTCCACTCAGTGTTGTTAGGGAGGGTTTTGATTCTGCAACACTGAAGGAATGGAAATATACTTCCAAGTACAGGATGGAGGGAAGCACGCAGGTGGTAGTGTTCCCATGTATCTGTTGCCCTTGTCCTTCTAGATGGTACTAGTTGTGAGTTTGGAAGGTATTGTCTCAGAAGCCTTGGTAAATTTTTGCAACGCATTTTATAGATGGCAAACATTTCTGCCACTGTATGTTGGTGGTGGGAGGTAGTGTGAATGTGATGCTTCCTACCTTAATAAATGTGTCGAATGAGCAAGACATTGAGAATTTTTGACATGGACATCAGACTGAATATCTGGTGACTTCAGCTCACTGCTTGCTCCAAAGGACTTCCATGTTGGACACTGGGCACTAACGTCTCAGGGCATGTTCCATGGGCACCAGTCACATGGACCCTATGTCCATGGACATTGGCATCTGATGTGTGCCAGTCTCTAAGAACCCTCCTAGCACATCTCTGATCTACTTAGTGTACTTCTGTCATTCAACGCTGCACCTCAGTCTGTACAGGCAACTACCATTGTAATGCTGCTACATTAATAGTGAGTACTCAGGGGCACATACCCAGTTTATTGATCAGACCAGGGTGCATATCCAGCCTGTGTGGTTGCTCTCATAGCGCTTGCTCACTCTGAGCCTGCCTAGATGCTCACAGCATCCATGCCTCACCTTGCCTTTTTGCGCTTTAGCCTTCAACAAGAGACACAAGGTTCATAGTACTGGAACATTGCTGTGATGTTTGGTGCAGACACAATGCCAGGAAGCTTGCCAAGGTTGTCAGCAGTTGTCACTCAAGTCAAGGGAGATAATTTTCGCTCAGGGGGTCTTGGCACAGTAAATCAAAGGCAGCATCTGATACCAGTCCAGGGGCCTAGACATGGTGGGTCAGCCATTCAGGTGTACAGAGACAGAACCTTCTCCACATATGGAGTGAGTAGCCGAATACTGGGCAGCCCATTATCTGTCCTGATTCTGCCCAATTTCTCCTGGAATGTCAGAAAAGCAGGTATTAAGGGAGATGAAAGTGAATGGCATAGCTGTTACTTTTGGTCCAGGTGAGGAGGAATCCTGAGCCAATGAGTAGGCAGAGCAGAAGACATGCAGGATTTGTGGTCTCAGAAGTTGGGTCGGTGAGAACAGGTTGAAAAGAAAAGAGTGTGGCACTTACCCTGGCAGAGTGGAGAAGGTCATTGACCTTCTTACAACACTGCTGGCCATTCCTCTGGATGGTTGGGACTACACAACTGGGGTTTGATCTCAGACCAGGTGGTTAGGGTCTGGTGGCACAGTCTCCTCTGCCTGTCCTCCAGGAAGAGGACATCCCTTGTTTGTAACAACCACTCCTGTCTCTGTCAGAGAATTGTAGCACCACCACACCCTTCTCAGCCACTTTTCAGATTCAAGCTCTGGAATTCCAGTGCTTATCTGGGTGCATAGTGGGCTTTTAAATATGGCGTCACCACCAGGGATGCTGGTCCTTCAGCTGATATCTAGTGAGTGACACCATGCTCTGTAAATGGTGAGTGGTAAGATGGAGACATGAGGGAATTCTTAGGGGTAAGATAGGTACATGAGTTATGTTTAATAAGACACTGCAAGATATCTCACTGGACCTTGAGGTGATAATCACTCCAATAAACATGGCACAACTCACTGTTAGGCAAAAAAGCAGAAGATCTAGCTCTCTGTTTATTTTTAAATAATCATAATTGCGCAATCCTTTTACTGATTTATACTTTTTTTTAATGATTGCCTACAACTATGCCATGAATTAGAATTACTCGCTCTGTTTATTGTCACTACAATTTGGCATCTGCCATGATTATTTTCAGCACAATAATTATCCTGCCATCTGTCCACCCATTTATCTAGTTAGCCTAAGCTAAAGTATTGTGTCTAATTCTGGGCACCACATATTAGGAAGAAAGTCAGGGGATGTGCAGGGAATATTTACCGGATGATTTTGGGACTATTTAAATGGAGTGACTAGAGAAACTGTAATCATTCTCCTTAAAGATGAGAAAGCTAATTTGAGATTTGAAAGAAGTGTTCGAAATAATCAGATGATTTGACAGACTAGATGTGTTTCTGCAGTGTAGTGGTTATCATAGTTGCCTACCACACAAGGTTCCTAGTTCAAAACCATGCTGAAAGAACCCTGCACCATTTTGGGGATCAAGGGCTTGAGGGAGAAGGCAGGAGAATGGGGTTCAGAAACATATCAGCCATGATTGAATGGCGGTGCAGACTTGATGGGCCAAATAGCCTAAATCTGCTCCTATATGTTATGGTTTTATAGACGGGGAGAACTACTTCCCCTGGTAGGATTCAGATAATTGGCAGAAAAATCTGGCATGAGTGGGAAATGAGGAGTTTTTTAAAAGCAGAAAGTTGTCATCTGAAATCCACTGTCTGAAAACATAATGGATGCTAATTCAATGGTGAGGTGC